GTTATTGAATAAATCTTATTCGTAGAATATTCAACACAAGTAAGACTAGAGGGAGAGACTTGTCCACACCAAATATCACTGTCAACATTACCTACGACAGGCCATATCTAGGGACATTACTGCTCTGTCGTTGAGGAGGACTTTGATGTGCATAGGCATGTTGTAACTATATGTATGGTAACAGCTAATAAAAAGATGTTTACAGATTGTGGGGACACATTATCTTTTGTACTGTGCTATACTCAATTGTTTTAAGATGATCAGACACACACTCATCAAACCAAATTAAATAATTGCAGTTCATAGAATATAAATTCAATTGTTGTTTATCAAATACACTAACAACCATAATTTGTCTAAATGATTATAGCTGGTTCACATCCACAAGCCTGATAATCTTTTCCTTCACATTAAAACGTCTTATCACTATCCCTACCCTACCTATCGGGAGCGAGCTGGTCTAGTGGTTAGAGCACACGACTTCGGCTGAGGTCCCGGGATCAAATTCTGCCAAATCACCAATGGATTTTATCTAAGTGATAGTGCTGCAACCCCTAGGTCTAGCCTGAAGTAATGTGAAAACAATCCCGGGCTCATGCCTAGCGTCCTAGGACAAAAGAAAATCCCTAACTATCGGGTCTGTTGGGTTGCTAATATACGAATATATTCAGATTTTAGAATCCTATTATGGTAGTGCTTAACCATCCCATGGATAAAAGAGTCATCTTGTTTTAGCTAGGAGCTTATTCGTGGTGGTCTGTTATGTGACCTCAAACGATTAACCTGTTTCCAGGCCCACTATACTCGTCAGATGTCAAGTTGAGTAGAAGTATTTAAATTAGTGTACTTATTACCTTAATCCACTTGGCGTGTGGCTTTAGGTTGAACAGTATTTCAATGATATTAAAGCTAGGGTTAGGGTTTATTGTGAGGGAATATCATTTCACAAAACAAACAAATGTATGTAATGTTGTTATGGTAGGCCTACGTCTATTGGTAACCAAGATTTTGACATACACCAAGACATAGGGATTCAATTATGAAGCTTACTCCCAGGTGCACATTTTAATTAAATTAATCTATGAATAAATCTAAAATGACTGTCACATATTCATACGGTTTGACACAGCTTATTGACATAGGGCATACTATTAAAATTTCACCAGCCCCAACAGCTTTTTTAAAAGTAAAAGTGTACCTAAGTACTCTAAGCGCGTGGGTTTATTCGCGTAAGATTTGATTTCGAGTTTCATTTTAATTTTGGTACATGTAGCTTTGCTTGGATTCAATAAAATATTTATAAATTAAGTTAAATATTGTATAGAAACTTTTGCAAATCTTCTTATTGCCTAGTAGCATTTGAATAATTCCGTTGATTATCTTTACAGTTTCAGCATTAAGTGTAGCAAGGAATGTACGGTATTTTATATTTTATATTGTATGTTTACAATGTGGGTGCATAATGCTTATTTAACAAACTATCTCTAATCTGCCGAAATGGTGACTTGAGGAAATTCAGACTTTAGTGCACTGACGTTTTTTTTTTCAAATGTCAAGCAGTGATTCGGCTCTCCTGCTCAAAATGATCAGCCCGTTGTTCATCATATTGCTAGGCTAATTCTCAAATCATATGATCAAACTAATTCTCTAAATTCATTCTTTGCTTCGTGACTTGGCCGAGGTTCTGAGACATCTGGTGATCTTGTCAGCTGGTTGGATCTGGTCCGTTGTAAACGAAGTGGTTAAATGTGTTTCTCGATGATCGATTGTTGCTCTCCCTTACAAACTCTGTAAATATTTCGCCACGGAAGTCTTACGCGTTTAATTTTTTTATCTTGAAAACTAAGCTTGAAAACCTAACTAATATGTATCTAATAAATAACCAAATACAACATATACAACTGTTATTTAAAATGATCAGTCAAAACTAACCAATGCAGTTATTTTGGTTTACACGTCAAATCAAATTATGACAATAAAATAACCTGTACCAACAGTTTTTGTTAATTTCCAGTACAAAAAGGTATTGACGTTAAAATGGGCACTTTCAATGGCTGTTGGACATAGATCGGATTTTCTTAGCATTGAGACAAACTCTAATCGATTTCTCGTGGCCTCAAATTGGACCAAAATAGTCCTCGGACGAAAATTAAATTTTGCCCGTACACTCGCTTGTTTTAGAGTAATGGATGGGATAAACAATTGGATATTCCTTAGTGTGCAGTTTTGATAGGGCTGAAATATTTTAAGCTTAAGAGTATTTTGATAAAATAAATTATTCCTATTTTTTTTTTTTTTTTTTTTTTATAACTAACTCTTGCCCAAAGTTTCAAAAAATTGCATTATAATACATGGAAAGAAATCAAGAATTGTAATAGTGTCTGCATATTGTTCAAGTATTGTTTACAATACTACTCTGAGCTCTATTACGATATTGCATCTTTTTAAATAATGACTTATGATGACATTATCGACTGCTCTCGATCTTCGCCAAATATGTGCAGTAATACTTGGAGTTTATTTAAGACTCTTAAGGTGTTTTATGTTAGATTCTATAGAGAAAGGGTATTTATATGCCCCCACGTTTATTGTTATGCCTCCTATAAAGTGTTAAAACCTACGTACTTCTTGTAAATAACAAATGTTATTTTATAAAACGCTAAATTAGTGGAAAGCATGTAAAACGTTACACATAGAGGTTTTAATACCCGAATTAAAATAGTTAAACATAGATGGATAAGCTATCATCGCGAGTTGTTGCGTCAGTTTGCTAAGCCGGCCCCAACAAAGTTGGCAACTCTGTATTGCTCTGATGAGTTATGGCCTTATTATTGTGTAACGCGATTCAACAACACAAATGTGTGTGTGTGTGTAGAAAATTAATTTTATATGTCTGTATTATTTAAAATAATAAATATCCCCACCGCAGCAAACCTGCAGACTAAGTGAAGTAGCCTTTGCCAGAGAGTACTATTTGATTAAAATGCTATATGTATTCCTTTTTTGAATAACATTGGTTTACTGAGTAGTAAACATTATTAGTTTAGTTACCACTACCATGGTCAAAAATGGTAAAAACCAATTTGCACACCATGAAACAACCAGTAAACCCTCGATCCAATAGTCTAATCATACTGGTTCGTGAACTTGTTCTAATAAACGTAGGTTTTTACGTTGTAACTACAGTTCATCAAGATCTATTGATTATTCTCAAATTATTGTGTACGTATATGAATATGAACGGACTGTGTTTTTGGCCTCTGGGTACATCAAAATAACAAAAATTGTCTCGGGTCCATGACTTACCATGAGACATAGGGCAGTAGCCTATAGGAAATTCGCTGAATACGTTTTAGAACTATTTAATTAGTTTTATGAATATCATATTGCATTTTTTAAACTCACTACCTTACTGTCATTATTTAAAATCAGATCCAAACTCGTGGAAGTTTTGATCGTACAGTACATTTCTACAGTGTCGCTTGAATATTTTTACAACGAAATGGTGTTAAACACTTTTATTTTCAGGATCATGATACATTTATAAGCAATTAAGACAAGACACAATATTCATTTTCCTTTTCATGCACTCTTAACATGCTCAAAGCCGGGCTTTAAGCTGCCTATGCAACACACATCTCAACATGCATTATATATTCGATGATTTCAGGCATATTATTAAGACTTTTAACATGGACAATATTTGTTCCTGAAGGATTGGAGTACAAACTCGAGCGCGCTCAAGTAAATGCCACTAGTAATGAAATGAAACTAGTAAATGCGGTCCTACTATCGAAATATACTATTCTCGCAATTGCTTTTTAAACGATATGGCTATGATTAACCAATAAGTAACATTTTAACTAAAGTGTATTCTTATTTTTATCAATATTTTTTTTCAATTGTAATATGGATGTTTTAATTTATTCTTCATACTAAGAGAAATTATAAACTCATTGGTGTAACAATTTATAGACTTATACTTTTTTTCTTATGCTTGTGACAGATTATTATAATTTTACCTTCAGGATATGCCATTTATATACTTTTATCGATAGTGCAAGGTATGCTGTCACTTTGCCCCTGGGAATTAAATAATCCAATGCAGTAGCCACTACTTTTGTTACTTACAAAAAGGCATATCCGGATTTTGTAATAGTATGTCGGTTGACGACAAAGTTATACAGTATTCATTATAAGCTTTTGTATAAGGAACATTGGGTTGTTATTTAAATTTCATAAATTAAAACATAACAAGGTGTTAACGGTATTTTCTAATATTCGTGGTTAAAACTGTCTATAAGTAATAGCTAGCTCACACGTATAAAGAAAAATTGTCTTGCAGTTATAATATGAAACATCATCTTGTAAACATATGTCCCGTGGCCAAAAATGTTTTCATGTATAATGAAAAGTGCACCAAACAGGTTCTTCTATATTATTCTCTAAATTATCAATAATAAAATAGATATTAGACCATTGTCTTATAAGGAACTTAATATTTTATAAATTATTGTTACATACAAACAGCTAGTTTTACGTTCATGAATTAGATTCAAACAAATAATACAACATTATAACAATTTATTTATTGATGAAACTTTTTTTACTTTCTGTAGGGGAGGGGTTGGTCTCTAAGCATAAACTATACTATGATAATACTTAATTTTATCAATTTACTGAATTTACAATTTATAATGAATAAGCTATTGACGAATGTCTCAAGGTAAACCTGACCCATGAATTGATTACCTTTTTATATATGTGTGTGTGAGGGTAAGGTTTTTTTGTGTTTGTTGTATCCATTGGCCATACAACCCAACATACACACGTTGTGGTAGGAGGGGTCATTCGATAACTCAAGTAGAGGTCTTCATATTTTTATGACATTTGGTACAAACATGTAAACCAACGTTTATTCTAACTAGTTCGAACCTAATCAGACGAAAATTTATGAGGTTAGGTATGAGGTTTTCAAAAATTTGAAAACATTAACTTACCTTAATTTTGACCAAACTCTGCATTTTTTCTGAACCATTTTGTAGAGCTTAAGAAGACAAATAGTTTTGCATTTTGTAGTGTTGTTGTACGCACTATTGTTACGGAGAAAAGTTCAAATGTCATTAATAGTGTTTTTAATTATTTGGATACCAAACTGGAAAACAAATTTTAACTTCTTACTTCAATTTGAATGATAATGATAATGACATAATAATGATTATGTTCCTGGTTTTTTTTTTCAATTTTAGAAGCAAGAATATAACTTTAGAATTAATACTGCAACTATTACATAGCTAAACACACATATTTTAAGTTAAGTATTCCAATAACATTACACATTAACAACGTTTTCAATTAATATTAGATCATGCGTATATGGGCTATGTCAAAGTATTATATTCATGACAGTTTTTAAAGTAGGGTTCGCACTTTGGACCATGCTTCAAAGGAATGTATTCAACAAGAACAACAACCAGTAAAATATCTTAAATCATTTGGAACCAATACGCTCAAGGCGGGGCTTTGTCAACTTCTGCTAACTTTGGAGTTTCCAAGTCCAACTTCTGTTATACAACCTCAAAGTTTACTTTCTTTCTCTGGATTTGCCTCTGGAAGTCCGATTAGTTACGTGTTTTCTATTACACAACCTATAAGTCAGGCAGGTAAAAATATATAAGTTTACTTGTATCATTTTTGTAGTTGTACTTAATAAAACGTCAATTGGTCACTACCATAAAATCTGCGTAGGCTAGCTTTGTGTTGTTAGATCTAGATAGTTGCATCATTATCCCACAACAAAAATGTGTAAAACTGTAGCTTAAGTCTCACTCCCTGCGAATGTTCTGTTAAACGGATGTGTAAATTGTTTGTAAATATTTATAAATACAAATAATGTATCTACAGAGCAAGGGATTATTTTATATTAATATAGGTTTTACGTTAGTAAAGTTAAGCAAAAATATTCATTTTGTAAAAAAAACATATCCAATATACCTTGATTGTTCATTTAGAGAATACGTTTCAAAAGTATGTGACCTAGTTGAGCAAGCAATCTGGAATCAGAGAATAGTTCTACCCTGAGTGAATAAAACCGTGATTTTAAACAAATATAGCTTGATTAATAGTATTATACATTTTTAAACTGTTTTAAATGTAGGTTATTCGTGTATATTTTTCCGTTTTCAATAACCCTTAGCTATATTATGGAAAGTAACTTTCACCGTATAAATTGTATGTTTAATATTCAAAATTTTATTCCTAATAAGAAAGACGTTAAACAGATAAGAATGATTATTCATTTAAAATATATCTGGTCGTGTTCGTAAAACTCGGTAATCGTGTATTATACCCTCACTTTCTACCAATGACTAGCAAGTTTATCCTCGTTGTTGAGTGGTTGTCTTTAATTTCAATCTGTACTATTTCTTAGGAGGATTTAGCAATCGTATATTTCTATAAGATCTAATGGAGAGGCAGATCCATGTAAAACACATTTTTACTAGTCAAACGTTTTATCATTTCCACAGGTTGCAGCAAGGAAACTATTCTTGTGTATTTATATTTTTTCAATTCAAGAGCCTAATAGTCAAGTTATCTCCAAGCATGCTCTTATGGACGGAACTTCGTATTATAATGTAATTTATCACAATCATGGGAGGCGAATCTTACGTTATTGATCATTCGCCATAACTTTTAGCCTGCAAGCAGGTCCACGTAGCGTTTCTTTTTTCTTTTTAATAACTTTTTAATATTAGCAACTGCAGGGTTTCTTTCAAACTAGGATTCGTGGACACCCATTACCCTCTTGCTTTAAATTCTTTCATAATGGAAATCAAAGTCATTTAAAGTGATGAAAGTGCCAGTAATCCCAAATCAGCTGATCGTCTAATTTAAAATTGCATGACCTAAATGACTAGCCTACGAATTTGTTTACAAATATTTTCAAACTTTTGGAATAGTTGATTTAATTACTTTGAATACTTCTTTGACAATCTTACTGAACTAAGTATGCTATACGCTCTTTTATTGTATGTTATTGTTCTGACTCATTGCACATTAAATAAACCTCGCAAATCAGGAGTTTCATTTACGAAAAGAAGGCGTAAAGTGTTTTATCGAGAGTTATAACTACAAGTGTTCACAAATGACAGAGTCGCATCGGAAACCTATTTACAAGATAAAGATTTAAGGAATAGAAACAGAGGGTGCTCAACGGTTAACGTTAATCAGATCTAAACATTGGCCCCATTTTCTCTCTTTTGTATTTTTACTCAAGTACAATAACTGTTAGTATGTTGTTTTGAAGAAATATTCTATTTAACAAAGATTTTTGTGTTTATCAAAGGATTCGTAGCTACAAAGTTTCAGATGGAAATTCAGTATGAAGTCTTAATTTTACGTTTATATTTATTTATTTATATTATATTTTTAATATAATATCAGCATTGAATCGTCTAAAAGATATTTAATTAGATATAAAAAACCATAGATATTCAACCACGCATAATTCTGGCGTTCTTCAAAAAGCAATGTTTTTGGATTCATTTTCTACGATTGGCTTTTTAAATAAATAAAATCGTACCGTACAAGGTTGAGTCCTAAAGGTTTTGGAACACAGCAACGAAAATATCTAGTGGAAAGGCGTAAATATTCAATTGTCCAGGAATTTCTGTCCATCTGCTTTCATTAAGCATAGCATTATAATTTATATTTAATCAACTTTCGTAGCCTAAAGTCTATACACTTCATAGAGGCTACAAATTATCAAATACCAACTAAACTTATTCACATTTCCCGATAAAAAAAAAAACATATTGAGCGAACTATTTTACAAATGCGTTTGTCAAATTAGAAAATGTTCACTTAGTTCGTATAGTAAGTTAGTTAGTAGTATAGTTAGTTCGTGTTAAGCACCACACTAGTCAACATTTTCATAAACCACATTGGATTGTAAAATGTCCATATTTTACAGGAATTTGAATTTATCAGGTGTATATCAAGGTTCATAATTAATTTTTATGCAATTACTAAACATACCAATTATTATAAGTTCACAAATATTTCTATTATGTATTGTAAAAAGATAATTAAACTTCTACCTGTTCTTACGCCGTAATTTGAAAGTCTTAGTGCCCTTAAACAATATGAATGTTACAAAATATGTTCAAGCGAGGATTAAACAAAAATTTATTCCATGAAATTGAAATATGTGGTCTCTTTTTTTCAATGAAAGATATTTACTTACAGTTTAACAACTAAGTAAATCTCCGTTGTTCCCTGCAGCGGTTAACACACGCCGACAAAGTTGCTTGTGTAAGCATTGTAGTGAAACAGAATAGCAAACACCTACATTTTGTTTAAACAACACTCTTTGGGATTTGCAGTCAATAAGGTGAATACATCTATATACTTGTATACACAGATTTAACTGATAATTCGTCACAAGTTCTCCAAAACTATTAATAAATAAACCCACAAATACTTACTAAATAAACTAATAATTGCATTTTTGTATGCATAAATCTAAATTTACACCAGGAAAGGCTACCAGGAAAAGTTGTATAGAATGTTTTATTAAATCTGCCCCCTATGCGTCACACAAATGGTTAAAGGTGGAAAAATCTAGTCTTCTCTTCACAGAATTTGGTTATATATCTCTTCCTTGCATAGATTATATTTTTGCTCTCTTGAAAGTAGGTATTTTATTACAACGCCTTACCTATATTTATCCCATTACTGCTTTACTATTCAGTTAAAATGTGGTAATATTAATATAGTAAATAGGTTTGTTGGTAAAGCAAACACACAATGTGTGGTGAACTTTATCGTATTTTGAATCAACTAATTGTGTGTTAAAATTATTGACCCCCCCCCCCAAATGTTAAGTGTATGCTGATGTAAAGCAGCTTATCAGCACACATCGGCTTAGGTCTAGTGAGGCCTAGTGAAGGAGCACATGACGCAACACTCAACATTCGCACAGCGTCTTACTGTGTACGACTTGGGATCAAGGATTCTCGTGGAACCAGGAAAGTGAACTAGTTGCTTCTTATTAGTTCGACATATTTATAGTAGGTTTTGGAAGCAGTTTAATGTAGGTTTACACTATTAGAACAATAACAGTCAGAGTGAACTTCATTGAAATTCCATCCACTTTCTTACGCGCCAGCTTTTAACCATCGCAGTAAAAAATGTAAAATTTAATTTACAATAAACGTTGAACGATTTGTAAGGATTTCAGCTCAAAATAGGATGCTATGTGTATTTAATCTAATTAAGCTGTGATATAATTGCCCAAACAAAAACTTCAAGGGTTTACGAATCCGATATAATTTATATCCGATACGCTTGGGGAAAGAAGTTTACAGTATTTGCTTACTGAGCATTCCACCAGTCTAACATCTTCTATAACAGATAAAACTATTCAAATCATCAAACTATGTGAAACAAACTGCATAGAGAATTATTTTAATAAATACTAAAAATAAAATAATAAAAATACAGAAACAGTTAAATTGTGTTATTATTTTTTTTTCGCTGAAAATAAAAAAGGGTATAATATTTTAGGATAAAACACATATCTAATATCCGTTAAGATGCGGTATAAACCACAATTATACAAAGGCGTATCGTAAATTAATAAAGTTAAGTAAAAATACTTGCAATGTGCTTTTAATTAGTGTTTAACATTCATGTTCTCCATTCGGAACCTAAGATCTAATGAGGTTTTGACACTATGAAAGTGGCTTCAGTAAAGTATTTTAAAATAACAAATTATTTAGTATAACTATTACATTTGATTAATGTACTATATAATAGGTATACATTATAATATAATAAAAAGAACTGTTATATTTCTTTGTTTCAAAGCTAAGAGGTGCCCCAAGTCAGATAGTCAGTTTAGTTGAGGCATTTAGAAACCACGCGACCTAGTTTAGTAAGTAATCAAAGTCAGTAGAATAGTTTTAGTATGAGCAGATTCCAACCCTGGAATGTTGTTAAGAAATAACACTTGATCTGAAAT